GTCATCTCAAATACTTATCATTTCTTTGTGGTAGGAATATTAAAAATCCCCTTTTAGCTATTTTTTTTTTATTTTAAAGAAAGATAAAAAAGAAATAAAAGCATGGTACAGAGTTTCAAAACAGGTAACCAGAAATTAACAATGGTTAATATATTGCATATTGTTGTCTTCAGAGTAGTTGCTCAGATTACACAATGTAGGCATGGAAAATTAGTCAACCAATGTAAGCACAAGCTGATCTTACCAGTGGACTAAAAGAAATTAGTAGTATAATTATGTTCGCTATCTTGTATATGTGTATATTTTCTTTCCCCTTCCTTCTTTTCTCCCTTCACTCATCCCAGTTGTTCTTTCCTTTTGGGCAGTTTCTTTCCCTTTCTCAATATCCATTGCAGATTTTGCATCTTATTTACTTTTTTAGTTTCTTACGCTAGGGAGACGAGACCATGTGTACTCGTGTCAGTTTGATTTATTTCACTTAGGACTATGGCCTCTGGTTGCATTCATTTACCTATAAAAGCCTGGAGTTTATACTTCTTTATAGCTGAGTAGCACTCCATTATATAAAAATACCACATCTTTTTTATCCATTCCTCAGTCGATAGGCATTTGTGTTGTTTCCAAGATTTAGCTGTTTCAAACTGTGCTGCTATAAACATGGGTGCACATATATCACTGTGATATGATGTTTTTATTCTTCTGGGAAAATATGTAGAAGGGGAATAGCTGGGTCAAATGGGACTGTCAATCCTAGTTTTTTGAGGAATCTCCACACTGATCTCCACAGTGGTTGCACCAGTCTACACTCCCACCGACAGTGGAGAAGATTTCCTTTTTCCCCACCGCCCTGCCAGCATTTGTTACTGATTGATTTCTTTATGCTGGCTATGCCTTTTGGGGTGAGATGGAATCTCAGTGTTATTTTAATTTGCATTTCTCGGATGACCAATGATGTTGAACATTTTTTTGTATATTGCCATTTGTATTTCTTCATCTAAGAAGTGTGTATTCATCTCCACTGCCCATTTTTGGATTGGGTCTTTGAATTTGAGGGGCCTGATTTAGATCTTTGATCCATTTTGACTTTAGTTTAGTGCATGGTGATAGACATGAATCTAGTGTTAGTCTTGGGCATGTGGAAAGTCAGTTTTTCTGGCACCATTTATTAAAGAGGCTATCTTTCTTCCATTGACCATGTTTGGCCTGTTTGTCAAAGTTAAGGTGGCTGAGTGTGTTTGTAGTTGTGTCTGCATTTTCTAATCTGTTCCATTGGTCCTCAGGTCTGTTTTTGCCAGTACTATGCAGATTGTATCACAGTACCTTTGTAGTATAGTTTTAAGTCAGGGATTGTGATGCTTCCTGCCTTGCCTTTGTTGCCCATGATTGCCTTGCTATTCTAGGTCTCTTTTGTTTCCAAAATATTTCCAAATGCTAGTGGTATTTTGATCGGGATTGTATTAAATCTGTGTAACAGTGTTGGGAGAATGGCCATTTTCATAATGTTGGTTCTTTCTATTCATGAGCAAGGGATATATTTCCATTTTATTTTCCAGTACTGGCTGTTGAACCTGGGGCCTTGAGCATGTTAGACAAGTGCTCTACCACTGACCTATAATCCTGACCCTTATCTTTCAGTTTTCTGTTATCCTCTTCGATCTCCTTTTTTCAGAGTGCTGTAATTTTCAAAGTATAGATCTTTTATTTCCTTTGTTAGACTGATTCCTAAGTATTTTATTTATTTGAATGCTATTGTGAAGGGTGTGATTTCTCTAATTTTTCTCTCAGTGAGTTTGTTGTTGTTTCAGGAATGCTGTTGATTTGTGAGGATTGACTTTTTATCAGCTATGCTACTGAGTTTGGTTGTTAATTCTAGAAGTCTCTCTGTGGAGTTTTTGGGGTCTTCTATGTAGAATATCATGTCACCTGCATATAATGGTAATTAACTTCTTCCTTTCCTATCCTTATTCCTTTTATTTCTCTCTCTTGTCTAATTTTTCTGGCTATTGTTTCCAGAACTATATTGATAGGAGTGATGATAGTGGACATCCTTATCTTATTCCTGATTTTGGAGTGAAAGCTTTCAGTTTGTGTCCATTTAGTATGATGTTGGCTATCTTCAGTTTCATTCAAGCAATTTGGCCAGCTTTCAGTGTAGTTTTTAATTTCCTGGATATCTGTTTGAATCCATTATATACATTTTATTTGTTTACTGTATGGATCATTTGTGGTTTCCATCCTCTTCCTATCATCTACTTTTTCTCTATCTCTACTCTAGATTGGCCAAGCATTTCCTTTATAGATGTTTCTCTCTTTTTTTTTCCTTTTTTTTTTTTTTACCTCAGAGATTATTTCTGATCTGATTTCCTCTATGGCCTCATGGATTTGTTTCTTTACTTAAGTTGCTATCCTTTGAGAGATTTCTCCTGTGTGTCTTCCAGTTTCTTCTGTGTGGATGTGTCCTGGACTTGTTCTGTGTGGGCTGGAGATCTGAGACTGCATTTTGCTATTTCATCTTGTCATTTTCTATTTCAAAAAAAATTTTTATGTGGTTTTCTGTGATGATCCTTGTGAGTTTTTGTAGTGGATAAGTGTATCACTAGTGTCAAGGCTTCTCTGGGAAAAGTGGTTTTCAGGGATGCCTTCTGTGTGTAGGAGATTCTTGGATTGTGTCTGTCAGAACATCCTATCTTACCAATTAAATAAGGGTAGGATGTTGGTATCTCTTTGGCTCAGCCCCCAGTCCTTTGTTTTAGGGCTGTGATGAGGTTTCTATCCCAGAGCTTCCCTTATTGTTACTGAAGGGTGAACCCCTAACTACAACAGATATGACATCCTAGCTAGAGTAGTAAAATTAGCAATAACAATAGCATTAAGCACTACTTGGAAATTGAGAAACTGTGGTAATCATTGACTTTGTACTTTAGTCCAGAGGAGGAGAATCTATAGTATATAATAAAGCCAATCATAAATTAGGAGTTTGTATGCAAAGTGTCTCCCCTTGGTAGAGTAGTTTTACCCTGAAGTGGGGAAACTTAGAGATGATAGTGTATAAAACAAAGAAACTGCAAAAGTAGTGGAAGCAAGGCTGGAGGACAAAGGATGTTTGCACAAGGTGTGGGAAAATAGAGAAGGTGGTAGAAAAGAAAAAATGAAGGAGTATTTGAGGAATTATGTGAACTTTTCACATAAGTTTGAGGGATAGGATGAGTTTTCTCTGACTAGAGTTCTCTCCAGCCGTTTAGAAAACAAAGGGGGAAAAAAGGAAGAAGAAGAAAAGAAAAGAAAAAAAAAAAAAGAAAAGGGAAGGGAAGAGAGAGAAAGAGAAAAACATTTTAAAATTAAAAAAATATAAAATAAATTGAGAGAAAAGGACTGGTTACTGAGTCCTGAGTTCTTCCTGAGTTGGTTCCAGGTCCTGTGGAGGCCTCAGTCACCTGCTGGCCCAAACTGTTACTATTGCTTCAATCTTTTCACACCACTAGTCTCACATGTCCATCCTGTGTGCCCTGGTTGAGACCTTACCGTGTCACTGGTGTTCCCTTTGGTCTCTGGGCCTTCCCAAGTAGTTTGCCTCAGCTGTGGCAGTAGTGAGCTGGGGGCGGGGGGGAAGGCTTGTTTTTGTGCCTTTTGCTGTGGTTCACCTGGGTCTGAGTGGCAGAGAGGTGATGGGAGGTGCTTTCCTCCTCCATGGTGTTCACCTGTGTGCTTGAGCAGTGGCAGAAGGCAGTCCCTTTTAGCTATTTTGAAACAAATATTTGTATTAATTGTAGTCATTGTGCTGTGCAATAGAACACACTCCTCCCAAAATTTTCAACTTTGTTCCTGTTGACCAGTGTCTGTGCTTCTCTTCCCCTTTCCCAGCCTCTGGTGATTACCCTTCCCTCCTGTACTTGTGTGAACTTGACCTTCCGAAATTCCATACAAAAGTGAGATCATATGTTACATGTTTCTCTGTGCCTGACTTGTGTGACTTAACATAATGTCTTCTAGGTTTTTTCGTATTGTAAATGACAGTGTCCTGTTCTCATATACAGTTGAATACTATCCCATTGTATAGGGACCACATTTCTGTCATTCATCTGTTGATAGGCACGTAGATTGTCTGCGTATCTTGGCCATTGTACATGATCCTTCTGTCCATATAGAGTGCTGACATCTCTTTGACATACTGATTTCCATGTCTTTGGGCATATACCCATAATCGGATTGCTAGACCATATTATAATGCTTTCCTTTTCCTCTATTTTTGTTTTTTAAATTTTGAGACAGGGTCTCACTAAGTTACCCGGGGTATGTGTGAACCCAAGATCCTCCTGCTTTGGCATACTGAGTAACTGGGAGTATAGGTGTCATCATGCATCATGCATCATGGTGCACAAAGAAACTGCAAAAGTAGTATAAGCAAAGCTGGAGGACAAAGAATGTTTGCACAAGGTGTGGGAAACTAGAGAAGGTGGTAGAAAAGAAAGAATGAAGGAGTATTTGAGGAATTTTTTGAACTTGAACATTTTTATTCTCCTCCTCTGGACTAAAGTACAAAGTCAATGATTATCACAGTTTCTCAATTTCCAAGTAGTGCTTAATGCTATTGTTATTGCTAATTTTACTACTTTAGCTAGGATGTCATATCTGTTGTACTTAGGGGTTCTCCCTTTGGTAACAATAAGGGAAACTCTGGGATAGAAACCTCATCATTTCTTAACCTTGAGCTTGAATATATATGAAAAAAATTACTGCTTAGGGACTGACATATGGTGCTTTTTAGTTTTAATTCATGTAAATCTACCCACTGTTTAGTGCTTATTGACTTAAATCACTTTATTTTTGATTAACATTTTTATGTATTTTTAAAATTTTTATTAGTATGTGTTTGCAGTACATAACGATCACATTCATCATGGGGAATTGGTGCATATACGTAACACAGCTTGATTCTTTTTACTTGCCTGCCCTGCCCTCCCCCTATATTCTAGTAATATTTTTAAAATTTACATTTCAAGAATCCCATAGGAAGGATAAACCTGGCCAATTGTACCAGCCGCCAGATAGAACCGGCCAACAGAGAATTTTGTGCAAGACGTAACACTTTTGAACTCATTACTGTCCGTCCACAAAGAGAAGATGACCGGGAGACTCTTGTCAGCCAATGCAGGGACACCCTCTGTGTCACCAAGTATGTATTGCCCTACTCTTCTTTGTGTTAACTGTGTCATTGGTTGCCCATTATGTTCTTATGACTACACAGGCATCAGAGATGGTCCTTAGCTTGAGCAGCGAGCAGCTCTAGTGGGGGAGCACACACTGCAGTGAAGCAGTGTATCAGTTCATACATTTGAGGTGGGTGTGATGCTCAGGTTGTATGACATCCGGTCCTGTTTGCACATATATGCACAGTGCAGGCATTTTCAAGGCAGTTAGTTCTTAATCTCTGGGTTAAGCTTAAATGATTTTGTGTGTAACTGAAAAGTCAAGCGTTATTCATGGATTGTACAGCTTTCTGTTCCATTAGAGAGAAATCCCTCATTCGGTAAGATGACACGACTTACGAAACCAGTCTTGTTCTGTAAAGTTCTAGTTGGCAATTAACAGGAGAAATTCTGGCAGTGTCACTTTTTTATTGCTGTTGTTAACCTTGAGCTTAAATATATATGAAAAAAATTACTGCTTAGGGACTGACATACGTTGTTTTGCTCAGATGGTCAGAAGAAAACTGAAGCCCAACTTCAGTGTATATAAACTAACGATTAGGGACAACAGATGGGATTTGACACAATCTTTTATTCATCAGGCTGTTGGCGGATGTTGCAGACAGGGAGGTGGGCAAAACTAGCTCCATGGTTTCTAGTGCAAAAATATTAGAAAGCTACATCCAAGAGACACTACACCAAAGTAGAAGAGTTGTCCTGAGACTGCCAGTGTGTTTCAAAATAACTACAGCACCCATTCTTTGGAGACTTATGTGTAGGTTCCTTTCAGATATGTTCATCTTGGCTCTTGGACTCCTTTCCTTGGGAGGAACCTTTCATGGAGCAGTAGTATCAGACAGGATAGGAGACAGAAAGTAGGATTATAATTATTTTGTTTGTTAACTGACCTGTCCATGTGCAATGAAAGGACCAACCAAAGCACAGCACTAAACAGTTCCTGGCCGCAGCAGCCCTCTTGGTGCCTTGTAACATTATCACAGTTTTCATATAACCCTGTGTTCTGCCTACTGCAGAAGCCCACCTGCGCTTCTCCTGGGGCCTCCCTTGTGGCAGAAGAAGCAAGACCACATGTTGCTCTAATCACTCTGTCTTTGATTTCTGTGTAGCTTCCCTTATAGTATCACCATTGTCCAGGTGTGTGCACCTTTGCTCAAGTGCAAAGAGCCCTGCATCCCTGATTCAGACCTGCCTGCTGCTTCAGCTTTGTTTGGGGCTCTGAAAGTTATCTCCTGGCCATCAGATAGTATAAACATTCTGCAGCCCCCTTGCCTGAACAATCCATTAGGGCCTTTTCAGCCTCAACCTTTTATCTAAATTTAATGTACCTCATTTTCATTTCTGCCCACCTAGCTTGCTGTCTTTCCCTTCTTCAAAACAAAAGATTTCTCTTTTGGTCAGTGTTTCCCACTTCAAAATAGACACTGTTGATCGGAACTAGAGATCCTTCACAGTTGAGAGGCAGGATTTTGTAGTGCCTCTTTGAAGCCAATGGACCTTTGGATTTGTGTAGTTGTTTCAGTGCTGGGGACTGAACCCAAGAGCCTGAATATAAGATGGTGCTCTCTATTTCCCAGGCCAGCAGACCTCAATTTAATCCCGACTCAGTAACTTAACAAATGTAAACCATGGGCAGTTTAGCAACTCAGTGGGACCCTGTCTCAAAAAGTAGTAGGCTGAGGGTGTAGCTCAGAGTGAAGGTACTGGGTACAGTACCTGGTACCACAAAAATGAAATTACAGACAAAACGAAAACCCTCCTAATAGCTGCCTCTTCTCTGTAGCAGGGTGGTCTGACTGTAAGTGAGAGTTCTTCCCAACCCTTGCCTGCCCCACCAACTTGTTATTCATTCTATTTGTAGCTTCATAAGAGTGCAAGGAAGAGATTGCTAGTATGACAGAGGTTAGGATAGACAGGCTTAGGATTTTGAGATAACTAAATACCATGTTTTACCCACAAAGTAGGGCAGAAATAATGGGGAACAATGCAGAGGAGAATTACCTGTAGGGCTGGTGAGGGCCCTATGCCTGTGATCCCGCTCTCATGGAGCCTGGTGCTGGAGGGTACTGGACTCCAGGGTTTGAGCCTGGGGTCCTCTTGCTAGGAAGCTGCCTGCACACAGCAGGTGTCCCACACATCAGGCACGTGTGCAGACGCTCACCTTCTTTGACTGGAAGCATCACTCACGGAATGGAGCGAGGTGCTATGATCACCTAGCCAAACTGGGGAAATTTTTATTCTGCTGTGCTTGGAGAAGCACCTCACTCCTTGGCTCTTGGTTATCTCCTTTAAGAGATGGTAAGGATGGGTCTTTTTTACCAGTTTGTGTTGACGCTGTTCCCCTCGTCTGGGTACCTGAGGTGTGGGTCGAGGAGGGGAGAATGTGACCTCTGCTTTGTGCGCTCCTGTAGGAACTGGCTGTCTGCAGACACAAAAGAGGAGCGGGACCTGTGGATGCAGAAACTCAACCAGGTGCTTGTGGATATTCGCCTCTGGCAGCCGGATGCATGCTACCAGCCTATTGGAAAGCCGTAAGCTGCAGGAATTTCCACATCATGTGGAGAATTTCTTGTGCATGTCATAAGTGTATCTCAAGAAAACATACTTTAGAGCATCAGATTTACTGATTGCATTTTGAGCTTTACACAGGGAAGGGTTTGTGCAAATATTCACTACATATTATGCAGTATTTATGTCTTTTGTATGTAAAATGTCAACTGCTTTCTGTCATTTATAAATGATTGGAAGTCAATTCATTATAGTTGTTGTTGCTAAATCTTAGAGTCTCATTTTCCTAGAAATATAATTGTTCAGTGTTCATCACAAAGTATTTTTTTAAAAGTATGAAACTCCGAGTTGTTCTCTTAGAGCTGTGGGTCTTGAAGCAGCAAGATCTTCCAGGAATGGGGACAGACACCTCCAGTTTGGTGATCTCTTCTTAGGCTCAGTAGGTTTTTCAGAAGTTAATAATCATCTCCTGGGCAATGATTTGTTAATACAGTACTGCAAAAAAAATTACTAAGGGACTCTAGAAGCATTTTTAATAATGGAGATGAGCACTTTTTCAAATAGCAAATGTACTAGTTTAGAGCTTGAGGCTACCTTTAAGAAAAGATGTAGACAGGCGACATTGTGTGAGATTTGGGGTTAAATATTTTATGTGGGAGAGTTAATTACATGGTTTACATGTCAGTTACATATGCAGTGTGGTGCACATTTTCATAGAATTCATGCTTTATTGAAATGATTATTTTTGCCATGTAGCTTACAGACTCCCAAACATGCATATTAATTCTTTCTATCCCTGCAACAAGAACAAATGTAAATTGAAGAACCTTTATATTAAAAGAACTAAACTTTTACCAAGCTGCTATAGAATAATACTTTGCTTGCCAAAGTTCTTGTCTTTTTTTATGTCTGTATGACAGTGTCTAGTGACCCATTTTGAAATCACTCTGAAAATGTTAATTCATGTATCCCTTTTAAAAACCTAATACCTTTTGTCATTATAAAATATCTGTAAAGCATGGTCTCAACTTTTAAGTACACTTTGGACTTCTTTTCTGAATTTCATTTAAAACACTAACTTCTGTCACCTCCTGTTTTCTTTTTTCATTCAAATGTTTTTCTTATATATATTATAAAAATGTATTTTATGACCTCTTACTGAAATAAACACTTGTACATGGCTTATGGCGTCAGTTATTGAAGAAAGGCTATGCGTGGCCCCAGTTCTGGGCTTCCTGGGCATACCGTCTTGACAGGATCTCACCTTTGTTATCCTTCCCTCAGCACTTGCTCTGTGGGTTCTTGGCGTGGCTGTGCGGTGCGTGTGTGGATAAGGGGTCCACTTCTGAGGCACGTCAGCACAGTGCGGTAGTCGGGTGTGTGCTTGGGGACACAGTGTGTGGTTCCTAGGTGCGTAGCAGAGGTGACTATGTGTGTAACATCACCAGGCGGGGCAGGAAATAGGTTTGATGGGACTGATGAGAAGGTCCCTGGTATTTATTGATAGGCTTGTGTTTAATTTGCAACAGGCATAACATATAGGGTACAAAATTCAAGAGGCACCAAGAAGTTAAGGTGAAAAGTCTCTTTGTCATAAGCACTTGTAGCAGTCTTTATGTGTCTTCCCAGAGCTAAACTATGCATGTTACTCAAAAACATTCTTTCGTTCATAAGATTTCTGTACATACTATTTGCTGTAATGTAAAGAAAAAAGTAAAGAAGTATCCCTTACAGATCATTCTAGTTCAGTATGCTAGAGTGTATGTAAAGCTCAATTTCGAAGAAGTTTAGGTTAAGGTGACTGTGGAACATCAAGTTAGAAATACCCCATCAGACAGCGGAAAATATTGTTCTGGTGATTTCACCGTCATCTGCTTAGTGGTGCTTGGCTGGATGCGTTAGAGTAGATGGGCTCACCCAGACAGTATAATGTAGAGAGAGAAATAATAATGAAAGAAACACTGTTCTTCAGGGATAAAGTGAACAAGTGTGGCTAAGAGATGTCTTGTGTGCAAGAACAACGGTCTGGTGGAAGAGCCTTGGATTTGACTATGAAATCATAAAGCAGGTGAATGACAGCTTGAATTTACATGTGCAGAAGTCAGTTGAGTAGAATGTTTCCAATAAAAATCAAGTTATAGCAAAACCCATGGAGGAAAAATGATAGAGTTGAGTACATTGAAAAGTCCTCAGGGGCTGGGGATTTAGCTCAGTGGCTAAAAGCGCCTGCCTGGCAAGCGCAAGGTCGTGAGTTCGGTTCCCGGTACCGGAGAAAAAAACAAAACGAAAAGTCCTCACAAGGTGACCCACTTGGGCCCCCTGCTGTTTCTCAGGAGCTGTCTCTTCCAATAGTTTTTTTAAAAAACAAAAAGTCCTTACAAATGTGTATAGACAAAGGTAAAACACAAGCAGTAGCTGAACTAATGTATAAAACATAAAAGAGCTCCTGTGAGCAGCTGTCGTGATTTAGCATCCACTATGTGCCCAGTGTTCTCTTGGTGTGTGCTTTCTCATGATCTTCATATGATCTTGTGAAATCAGCATTGAACCTAAAACTTGGCTAGGTTTTGAGGCCACACTGAGTGAGTAACAGACCAGGACATATAAACCCAACACTATTCCAGAATCACCATATTTCATTGTTACACAATGGTATTTGTCATATTTAACAGAAAGTTTTTCACACACAAACACAAATGTAGAGCTGAGAAACATGGAAAAATGTAAATTTAAGTGGCCGTGGGTTACTCGGCCACAGACTGGTGAAACTAAGCCAGAGTTGATTAGACACAAGCTCTACCCTCTTGGTGAGAATAGTAACTGATGCAGCCTTCTCAGATGCCAATTTGTTAACTTCCAGGAATGTGGAAAACTCAGGATCATATTGCCTAATCCTACCTGGAGGTAGCAGAGATTTTACAACAATCTTTACTCAGAAATTCAAGGGCATCAAGGAACACTGGCAAAACAGAGAGGTCCTCTCCTTCCTACAGCTGCCCAGGTCTTGGTTTTTGTGTGACACGCCTTCTGGCCCGGAATAACATCTCAAGGCAGGCGTCACGTTATCTCACACAGCAGGGAGCCTCTAGTGGTAGAGCTTTCATAACTTGGGAATCCTGCCAAACAAATCCACAAATTCTAAGTATATTTACTGCACACAATCCTTCACTGGCTGAATCTCACTAAGAGCATTCCACAGATAAAAGTCCTCTTGCCAAGTATTATTAATCTCTTTACCAGGAGGTCCAGTTTTTGGCAGGTTTACAAGGAATTTAAGTGTGTTGTTTGTCATTTTTCTCTAGAACAAAGTTTAGCTCTTTCCCCCTCTCCTTAGACAAACTTGCATGTGAACACAGATGAACATAAAAGAATGATCATTGCAATATAGTTTCCAAACAGGAAAGATAGAAATAACCTGAAAAGTCATCAACAAGGAAGAAAATTAAAAATAATCTTCAAGGGCACTAACAGGAAATCATGGTATAGTATCTTATGTAGGGGCCAAAAAGAATGAAGCAAGGAAGGGTATTTCTGGAGAAGAAATGACTGCTATTATGCTGATGGGGAAGAGGTAAAGATGGGGGAGAATGGGAAGATGCTGGTAAAAAAGAAATACAAAACATGGGGGGAGGTTGAATTGAAGGAACAAGATGATGGATGATAGAACCCAGAAGAGGTGAATCCAGAACTCCATGCCGACATTCATTATTTGTTATGGCTTAGATCTCAAATCCCCCCTCACCCCCCACACACCAAAGTCTCATGTGTTCAGAGGTGGGGTTTTGAAAGGTGACTGGATCATGAGGTGCTGTACTTATCAGTGGATTCATCCATTGACGAGTTCATGGCTCATTGTGCTCTTAGGAGGTTACCCTGGTTAGAGGTGGTTCACTGGGGGACTGACCTGCAAAGGAGTATTGTTCTCTTGGTGGAATGACCTGCAAGGGTGTGACCTTGTCCCTGGCTCCTCCCTTCTCCTCTCCTTCCTGACTGCCATGGGGTGAGCAGCGTTTCTCCATCAGACCCTCCCTGCATGCCATTCCTGCCTCAGAGCCAGCCCACTATGGACTGAATCCTTGGAAACATGAGCCCAAATCAACCTTTTCTTCTTTATGCTCATGTGTTGTGTATTTTGTCCAGTGATGAGAAAACCATTAATACAGTAAATTTGTGAGTTCTGAAGAAATAGGCGCATGGACTGCAGTCATGCGGGCCAGCAGCTGTGGAATGATGCTGAGGGCCCGGCTCTCCTTTCTCCTGAAAGGTTCTGGTCACGGGAACCCCACGGAGGCAGGGGCAACCCGTGTGGAAGCATTGCATAACTGTTTCAAGAGAGGTCTCTAGTCCTCACAAGAGTTCATGCTTTAGAGACACACTCCCTCCCATTTCCAAGTTGTGCAGATTTTTCAGCAGAACTTTTAAAAGATGCAAAGAACTTTTAATTTCCATCATACTGAGAATATTAACATTTCAGATTAAAATCCTTATAGTCTTTTAATCAAATCCAACAGAATCTATGCAAGTACAGCTTTGTCCTCCATTATCTATTTAAAAATACACAAATTCTTTTGAGAAAATTTAGGGACTTTCAGGCCAGTCCCCTCACATGATTTTATATTAATTTATATTTTTATGTTTCAGCAAAATGTAAAAATGAAACCATTTTAAACCATAAGAGTTTAAATGTTAAGCTGAATTATTGTTATGTTTGTTTGTTTATTTATTTAATTGTCTTTTTGAGACAGACTCTCGCTATGCAGTTCAGGCTGGCCTTGAGCTCACTTTGTAGCCTAGGCTAGTCTCCCACTCACAATGATCCTCCTGCCTCAGCCTCCCGAGTGCTGGGATTACAGGTGGTGCACCACCACACCTGACCATTATGTTTATATTTCAGTTCACAATCAAGACAAAATGTTACTCATCTGCTGGGTGTGGGGCTGCACACCTATAATTCCAGCTCTCAGGAGGCCAAGGCAGGAGGATTACTTCGAGTTCAATGCCAACCTAGGCCACATAGTGAGTTCAAGGCTAGCCTGAACTGTGTAGTGAGAACCTTGCCTCCGAAAACAGACAGACAAACAAAACTCCAAAAAGTTATACAGATATCTACCGGGGTCTTGGCCTAGCCTGTCTCCTAAATGAATGGACAGTGAAAGGCTTAAATAAAAGAGACAAATTGTATGATTGTAGGGTTCCAGGAAGGTCAAAACCCTCTAATGGAATTCATAATTCCCTGGGCATTGAGATAAAGAACTTCACTGGATGGCCCATATTTATTTGGTTTTCACCAAAGGAAAGGGATACTGAGGTAAGTGTGAGAACTGAGCAGGACCTTGGGAGTCAGTTCAAAGACTTCTCCAAGTAGTAAATTTTGCCAATCAAGAGAACTATCTTATCTCTAAGGTTGGCAATTATTGCTCTGGAGTAGGGGATGTCAGTAGCCTATATCCTTGGCTGCCTCAGCTGTGATTATCTTGACTTCAGAGCACCACGCATATGCTCTTTTCCAACACAGCCAGAAGTTCCTGTGTTCAGCAACTCAGCTGTACAGCCCAGTCTCCCACACACATCTGAGAAAATTTAAACAGTAAAATGATGTAGGAACTATATACTTTAATGAGGCAGATGGGTTTTTTATTGCTTAGATTATGTATTTTGGGTAAATACATATGTCTAGAATGTGCTTCAACATCAATTCTATTTCTTTTTCATTTTTATAAATCACATCAGTAGATAGAAACAGAAGGAGCTTTGATGTAGGCAAGTCACCCAATACACTGAAATTTCAAATGATCTATAAGAAATTATTTTTAGGTAGAAGGGTAGATAGACATGAACAATATATGGTAAATGCATGTATGGAAATATTGAAGTGAATCTTATTAATTTTTACAATTAATATATTAATTATTATTACTAATTTTTTACCTTTTATTTTATTGATACATTTTAGATAAACATAATGATCACATTATGTGATCACAGGAATTTGTACCTATACATGATATATCTTGATTCTTCTGTTTTTCCCATTCCCCTCCCCTCCATTCAACTCCCTTCCTCTCTTTATTTACAAAAGCTTTATTTCGATTTTTTCCTTCTTTTTTTCTTGTCCCTTCTTTCCTCCCTCCTCCTTGTTCCCCTTCTCATTTGAATAATTTCTTCCCTTGTCCCAACATCT